AGAGGTGCACAATCCTCCTGATTTACATTTTTAGGGAGCTATAGAGAAAATATAATCTCCCTCCGATTTTCTGTGAAATTACTATATCAACGGCTTAAGTCCGCAGCCATGGATCTCGTTTGCGGTCTTTGAAAATCCCCACTCCTATTTTATTTTTTCAAAAAAAAAAAAAAAAAAAAAAAAATCGATATCATTCCTTGAAGTTTTTGCCGAATTTTCGTAGCACTGAGCGAAAAAACACGGTAGTTTTCAAGAATTGTGTTGATTAGTTTTTCTTTTAAAAAATAAAGTATGCGCGTAATAACGTCGCAGACTTCCTGTCGCGACGATCTTTTCTACAGTGACTTGATGTTTTTTTTTTGCGTCACCGGACTCCTAGCATGCTCTTGAGTAGATTTCAAGCCCCAAACCGAATGGACGTGCAATAGTTTTCCCTTGGAAAAATAATTTCCTCGTTGTAGGTAAGGATTTCCCGGCGTCACGGAAAATGAAGAATTTTCCGAGATTTTCCGCAGTGACATGATGTTTTTTTTTTGCGGAGTCGAACTCCTAGGATGCTCCCAAGTATATTTCAGCCCACAAACCGAATGGACAAGCAACAGTTTTCCCTTGAAAAAATAATTTCATCATTGTAGGTAAGGATTTCCCGGCGTCCTAAAAAATGAAGAATTTTCCTAGATTTTCCGCGGTGACATTATTTTTTTTTTTTTTTGCTCAGTTGGACTCCTAGGATGCTCCCGAGTAGGTTTCAACCCCGAAACCGAATGGACATGCAACAGTTTTCCCATGGAAATATCGTTTCATCATTATAGGTAAGGATTTCCCGGCGTCCTAAAAAATGAAGAATTTTCCGAGATTTTCCGCAGTGACATGATGTTTTTTTTGTTCACTCGGACTCCTAGGATGCTCCCGAGTAGGTTTCAGCCCCTAAACCGAATGGACATGCAACAGTTTTCTCTCAGGGAAAGTTTACTCTGCTTGTTGTTAGTCATTTCCCGGCCGGGTAAAGACGAGTTGATTTTCCGTGTTATCTGGCGGTAATCATTTTTAAAGGAGAGATTCTTAAATGAGAAAGTTAAATTCAATTTAATTACCACGGCAAATGTTTGATTACAACCCTTTTTTATTTCATTTGTAGTTGATTGCAATATGAATATTATCGGGTACCTGGTCCCTTCTGTGGAACGTATTGTGTTAGGGATGAGGTTTGTTGGTTGAGGTTCTCTTTTTTTTTGGGGGGGGGGATTGTTTTTGGCGATGGAAGGCGTTAGCGTCTATTGTAGAAAGGATGTGGATAGTAGGAAAGGAGTTGGATGGTGAAGTCGTATGGTCTGCGGCACCCGGGCCCAGTGTGCGGCGGAGCGCCGTATCCGGGTGTCGCATGTCGCGGCCATTGTAGTTGACGGCCGTTGTAGCTAAATTCATTCCAGTTTTCCACCTCCAAGAGGGCCTGGGGGCGGGGAGTTTCGGGACTGCAAACTTCGGATGCCTTGGGGTCAATTCCCTACTGCCTACTCAACCCTGCGGTCCCTGATCTCTTACGACCTAAAACAACTGAGAGAAAAAGTCGGAATGGTCTGGGACACCCTGTATATAAGACAGCCATTCGCATCTTTTTAGTATAGGGAAATTGTGCCGCTTTTGATTGGTACACGCATAAGTACACATTGCACGAATAAGAGGGCTCAGCAAGCTGCACCTACCTATGTGATGATGGTGAAACTACCGAAGCACGGAAGATCTTAATTTTAGGAATCAAGATCTTGATCTTGATTAGGATTTTGTGACTACGCGTCATAATTCTTGACTCTCTGCCAGTGTTGGAATTTCGTCAAGATCTTTAGGATCCATTGTGGCCAGCATGATGAAAATTTAGGGGTGATAGGGGATTATTTAGGAGCCAAAATGGTTTTTCCTTTTTTCCGACAAATTAAGATTATCGTTACGGTATCGCTCGCAATGTTAGAGGTGGTTGAATTTTTCTTTCTTTGTTTTTTTTTCTTTTATCCTACAACTTTTCATATATTTTACTAGGAGAAGTAGGTATTTCTACCTCTACCAGCCCTTATTTTTATCATTTTTTTGAGCTAAGTAATTGAGGGATGATTTGACGGTAATAATTCATTGAATGCATTCACGCGCCAAATTTGGCCGCGGCTTTAGGTGATTCGATGGACGCCACTTTTTGTGTCAGAACGGTATGCGATGTATCGGATCGATTAGTTCTATTTCTTCAGCTACTTTTCATTTTTCTCAAATTTCGAGATCGCAGTTCTGTTGTCAGGAGACTAAAGAATTCACTTACCAATTTTGACAAACAAATTCAACGTCATGAAGGCGTGATTTTTTCAGAGAAAAAATATCGCATTCGAGTGCAGTTTCGATATCAGTATCGAAAGCGATATTTTTCCTCTAAAAAACCGCGCCTTTATTAAGTTTAATTTGTTTGTAAAAATTGATGGGTGATTTCTTTTGTCTCCTGACAACAGAATTGCGATCTGAAAATTCGAAAAAAATGATGAATAGGTATATAGCTGAAAAAATGGAACCAATCGATGCGATTTATCGCATGTCGTCCCGACACAAAACATAGCGTCCATCGAATCACTTAGGCGCAAAGCCGAATATGTAGGTGCATACAGCGCATGGCGCCTGTGGGATGCAAACACTGGCGAAAACTCATGATTTTCCTTCAATTTCGCGTGATACCACATACCAACTCCGATATAGTTCGAATAGTCGCTCGCTTCATTTCTGCCTGTTAAAGAGAGGGAAATTGGGCGAGTTTCATCTTAACTTCGCGGAAAGTACAGGATTTAACCAGCGGTTTCGTCGAACCCTTCACAATTACGGGCTGTTCATCTCTGTATCGCGGAGAATGCGCGATTTTTCCAAGGATTTTTTTAAAAAAAAAAAAAAATAATAATCAGAAATTACTCGCGAATCTCCGCAAGAGGTCACCGTTAAAGGGAGTGATGAATGAATCTCGGAGATTATTCTATGGGTTTCTCGTAACATTTGACGGCGTTGCATGGTGGAAGTAAAAGTTTTTGTGTTGCTACATTTGCCTTGAAGTTGAGCCGTTTCCTTGCTTGGTTTCCTGGATCCGCCTTGCATGTGCCGAAAAGTTTGCTAATAAACACCGCGGAATGCAGGTAATTATTCGCTGTCGGTGTAGATGCCTGATCTCATCGTAAAATATAAAAGAAAATTCCAATGATCTTTGCTCGAGGGTGGTTAAAGGAGGCGCCACAAGAGTGCTAATAGCTAACCCTTTTGAACTAGCGAAATGCCCGTGACTGGAGTCACGGGTCTAGAGGCCGCTAAAATGGTGGTATGGGAGCAAAACATGCCATAAAAAAATGATAAAATCGATAGAAAAATGAGTTGAGGGGAGAGGGTGATGAAGCTACAAAAATGAGCTGTGGGGGGGGGAGGGGTAGAATAAATGCTGGCAAAAAATTAAAACTAACCTAGCAATGATTTATTAACAAAAAAAAAAATGAAAAAAAGAAATTGAAATCCAACATCAGCTGATAGCAAACAAAGGTTACCAAGGAAACCAAGGAATGGAACTTTCATAAAAACAGTTTAGTGGAAAACAGCGTAAGTAGGGCACTTACGTTAATTACCGTTTATAATAAACGGTAAATGCGATTTAACCGAAAAACTATACAGTTCTTCATAAGACCAAAATGGACAAAATTGCAAAATTTGAAGAAGCTAACGTAAATCTAACGGTAGTTATCGTGAACGAAAGAATTGTTGACATAGATCCGGTAACTATTATAGGTGGGATGGGATGTTCAAGAAAGTTTGAAAAAGAAGGGAAAAAAAATGTGTAGGTATAGGTATGACTTGTGGAACTGTCCTGGAGATTTCTCAATTAAAATCGATGATATTTTCATTCAAAAATATTATGGAAACATAAATTAGCATAAGAAGTTTTTTCAGAGGTGGATCTAGCAATTTGGCAACACCGGATTTCATCCATTTAAACCTATGTTAAATAATCGATTCTTCTCAGAGCATCCGGCCCCTCTGAGAATCGATACATCTCCATAGGTTTAAAGGGGAATAACAACGTTGCCAATTTGCTGGATCTACCAGTGAGTTTGTTTAGTTTAAGGTAACTCTTTAATTTGACGCGGAATGCAAAAGTATACATACATATAGTGTAATAGTACAGATATCAACGGTGAATTTCTAAACCGTGAATTACGATTACGGTATTTGAGAATATTAATTGCCTCTCCTATTTAATTTTATCATGAACAACGAATCGACATTATCCCTATGTATTTTCAAAGAATATATTACCTACTCACCCACAATCAGAGAGGAAACAAGGACGTTTTCGAGAGACGATGGTGAACAGTTTTTCACCGATACCCATCATAAAGTGTGACAGGAAGTCTGCTTCGCCGCAAATTGAGATACGGTCTCGACAAGTTCCACCTCAGATGTATAACACGTAGAACTTGAAAGTTCGTAAAAAATGTTTCATAATTGTCTTTATTTTGTCATAATTTTCTAAAATAAAGTGATAAAAAACTCATGTAGGTGCAAATTGACATTTGAAAAAAATGTCTCTATGACTCGTATACTTCAAACGTTTTTCAAAGCAGTTTTTATTCTGGTGGATGAGACTTTTATTAGCTGTCAACGTAACAAGGAAGATTTCCGAAAAATGTTTTGCTCACACAGATGATTTTTAAACACAGTTTCAGATCGAACAGCCAGTTTAACCCATGACAAGAGGCTCTGTGTACACCTTGAACTACATTTTAATTTTTGCAGGAGGATGAGATTTTCCAAAGTNGCTGAAAGACATTGAGTCTGAAAAGCTAGCCTGGAAAGTAGGGTACGCGCGGGAGTTTGGGGGTGGCTGCGATGAAAGGGCTGCTGGGGGTGAAACGACAGTGGAAGGGGGTGGGGGCAAAACGTATAGTTTGAGACCGAGCCATGCTTCGACCCAACTCCGGCAGTGCTCTCTCGCTTGCTTCTGCAGGAAGAAGTGCCTCCCGTTTTCGCTCTTTTCGCTGTCTCTTCCTATACTCTCTCTTATCCTAGTCTTCCTGACTCAATATTATCTTTTTTCACTCTGTCCCTAATTTTGAACCAATCGTCCATTACAAAATTGCAAACTTTCGGATCGGTTCTTTTTTTTCAAATCAATTGATGAGAATCGTGAACACGCATCACTGCTGAAAACAAATAATCATTTGTTTCGCAATCCATCACATTTCTGCATTGCATAGAGTACGTGTGAATCTTCTTCGTCATTTATCCATCAAAAAAAAAGAGGAGCGTTCAGACCTCATCAAATTTAAGTATCCGTGCCCCAAAGAACCATAGATCTGTTTGTTCGGAGGTGATTTCAAAATGCATTAAAAAATAAGTTTTTTTTGGGTTTTTTTTTTAATTTCTACGGATAAACGCCGGAAACATTGTGCCGTGAGGTGAATCGAGCCATGGACTCCTACACTCAGGAGTTTTCCTTAGTACTTGCAGGTTGGTCAATAAATTCAATACTTCTATTTATAGGTTATAGAGGTGATACAATATTTTTATTAGCAACCCCTGGAACTTGAATGGTGTGACGCAGCACTCTAACCTATACTCCACTCACGCGTGACGTGCCATGCACACCCATATAGCACACGAGTTATCTCTGATGCGATATCCTTCGACTAAACTCTGGAAATAATGAAATCTTTTAATAAGACTGATTGTGCATGTGTGTACATGTTGTACATGTGTTGATTTTAATTATAGTCTTATCCTGAGTGGTCAATGGCTATCCCTCGGAGGAAGAGCCATGCACGAATCCGCCCGTTTTTGGGCGGATTACCACTTTTTCTGCAAGTCAATATATCCACCCGTTCTCGAAATATTAAGGAGTATCGATACTTCGTGCACACCCTGTTTCGATGAAGCCCCCCCCCCCCTCCCAGGAGAAACCAGGTTATGGTTTCTAAAAGATGCCAAAAAGTACACAAGAAATGGCTGATATAATCACCGCAATCTGCGCTTCGATATCTTAATCAGACAACACGTTATAGTCGGAATTCTACATCAAAATACCTACCTGCACAAATGAGTGCAAATCGGGGACTTGGTCCCCTCTCCCCCCACCTCGAAAAGGATTCTTATACTCGATCTGAAATTTTAGTACACAGGGTGTCCCAGAGCACACGTGCCAGGCCCTTTTCTCGGTTGATTTAGGTCGGACGAAGTCGGAGCCTGCGGGGTTGGGCAGGGAATTGACCCCAAGGAATCCGAATTTCATGGTCTCGAACCCCCCCCCCGCACCCCTTGGGAGGTAAAAGGGGGGTCACGATCCTAAAAGTCGGGGTTAGCTTTCATCACCGTTTCTTTGTTTGTGATTACAGAATTTAAAAATACTAGGGGGCCCTGCCCTCTGACCGGTACGCGGCCCAACCCCCTGGAGGACGCTTCGCGCCCTCAGGCCCGCTGCGCGGGCCCTGTACGCATATGTATAGGCAAAAATGTTCTCCCATTTTAATACACCATCGATTTCAAAATTTTTAACATAACTCTCAGATTTTTAAATTATGAGGAATAGCTGGATGTACATAATTTGGTATTAATGGAGGCAGTATATTGACGGCTAAACTCGGGAAACATGTATCTCAATTTGCGACGTCGTATACTTCTCATCAAGAATTTTTTTTTTTTTTATTGCAAAACTAATCAACGTACTAAATTTTTTGAAAACGACTGTGATTTCACCTCTGCTCGAAGAATATTCTGTGAAAATTTAAAGCGATAAAATTGGCTCATTTCCCTTCGAAATCTTAAATTAGATGCGGAAATCTTGAAACACCGCGAGCAAGGTACGTGGTTTTCGACTTTAGCCATCGGTATGCAATCAAAATTTATTTTTTAAATGTAGGTACGTTAAAACCATCTAATTCTCCATTCCTAGTCTAAAGTTGGCTGCAAGGTGCATGACACAAAGCCATTAAATAACAGAAAAAAAAAGAAAAACATTCTTCATTCAAAGTTCCATTATCCGTTTCAGTATGTGGCATGCGGCAAATCATAATAAAAACCATGATACATTTGATACAACTTATCAATGGATTCTGAATGGTGCGTTGCTGCGTCAGAAACAAGATCTGAGGCTATTTACAACTCTGTTTGTACCTGTTTTTAGCCTTTTCCTCCTCAAGATTTTCAATTTTGTTTTAAGACGTGTAGTTTTACATTCTTAGGTGAGAACTTATTTACCTTTTCAAACTCTTCAGCGCAATTCTCTACCGGCAAAATAAACGCTGTCCCTTTCTTTCAAAATTTTTCTCGATGTAAGTCTCTATTTCACGGGTAAAAATTTACTCACATTAGCTTCTGCGTCTTGTTTTCATTTAATTTTCCATTGGCTCTTTATTTGAATATATTTGTCTGCGCTCTGCATGAACCGTTTCAGCAATTTTACCCAGCCATTTGTCAAACGTATTACCTCTCCTCGGTTCTGTAGTTTTCTCTATATCTAATGCTGTATCATCGTTTCTTATTCCGCCAAAGATAGTACGGCTGCCGCGCCGCGCGCCGCCGCGCCGGTTGTCACGGAACGCATATTAGCGCCTACAAGACTGCAGGAATACTTCACGCATTGCGCTAAATACAGTGCGGCCGCCGCCGCGCGCCACGCGCGCCGGTCAGTGTAGGACGCATATCGACAGCGTTAGTCGGCAATCACATAACTCGGTTTGCAACGTCGCGTCGCAGACTTCCTGTCATACTTTATTTTTGAATCGGAGAACTACTCAACGGCAATTCTTTAAAACTGCCGTGTTTTTTTTTCTCTGTGCAAAGAAAATTCTGCATAAGCTTCAAGGAATAATGCCGCTTTGTTCTCCTTTAAAAAAATAACATAGAGGCGGAGATTTTCAGACACCGCAGACGAGATACGTGATTGTGGACTTACACTATCGATGTGGGATATTGTACAAAAACTGTCCGATTTGGCCTCCAAAAAACTAAAAATTCAACTTGTTTTTTGGATCGAGGGTTTGTTTTCCGAGTCAAAGTATAGTGTCAGTATAGTACAAAGTATATATGTATTTGCTCCCTATCTTTGCATGGAGGGATTGTTTTGATGTAGTGGTGGACTCTCAGAATAGCGTGGGATATCCCCTCCATTTTAGCCTCAACTTGAGAGCTTTTTTTGAGCTTGGGGTTAATTTCAGAGAAAACCAGTGGCCACATCGTGTTTCTCGCGAACTTTTACATCAGAATCAACAGTCAAATCACAAATTCCTCACACATGCAACATCTCCATTGCCCTTATTAGCGCCTACAAGACTGTAGAAATACTTCACGCATTGCGCGTTTATTATAGTACGTGAGCACTTTAATCGTTGAAAATTCGTAATATTTCGGTGCCGGACCTAACGCCGTCTGCACCATTTCCGACCAGTGCAGTGTCCACCCCAAACCTGTAATCCTAGGATCGGAGGATTTCAGAGATGTTGCACCCCTGAATGTATCTTAGTCTATTGAGTCATTGATGCCGAAGCTCGTCCGTCTTTTTCTGATCGACTATCGTTAAAACGAAAACCTCTCTAGGGAGGAAATCAGCCGGTCCCTCGAGTCCTTGTTATACTGAGAGATCAATATATTATTATTTTCTTCCCTGTTTTAATATCACCCGTCAGTAATGAACGAGAAGCAATCAGATAATACCTACAAATGTAAATGTGTGAATTACTGTTTTATGGGTGCAGTTGTATATGTAAATCAGCAAGAGCTTTGACGCAAGAGGATACATCATTGACCTATTCCCCTCTTTCCTTTTTGCTCAGTACTAATCAGCTCAAGTAAAGAGGTGGAAGCCTTAACATAAGTGAGATCATTTATCTTGGAAAGACAAAATTGTATTTTTCTTGAACCGAAATTATTTCAGATTTGCTATCATACTTGGAAAATGTGTATCAAACTTGTGGCAACATCATGCGTCATACGTACTTATTTAACCTGCTTTCCTATTGATCTATTACAGAGTTCAATTAGTTTCAAGCATATTCTGAGATGATCATTTCATTTTCTCCTCAACTCATTGTTAGTGCGGAAGAATCAACACGGGGCTGTTGGATGCAATTAATTGTGGTCGCACCCCAATAAGTTAGATCAATAACCCAACTTGAGTTGCGATGCTACCACAATTAATTGATTTCCATTTCATAATCTGACAGATTAGGGTGGTGCCAAAATTATAGGGGATATTCTACCCCCTCACACATTTTTGTCGTGATTTTAAGGTTTCCTTGACGCAAAGTTTAATAAATACTGATTTAATGAGCATAGTGTTTTCATTTAAAACTCTACATTAAAAGGGATAAATATTCTTGACAGAGGGTTGCTTCCACCATCCACAATTTCGAGGGTTCAATTCGGGAGGGGGGCAGCCCCCCCCCCCTAGCTACACCCATGGTTACTGTAATCTGTAAATGACTATTTAACAACAGATTTTTATGAAGTTTGATGTCTCGCGATATTTTAAATGCGAAAGGATAAAACGTACTTGGTTAGCATACAATTTCAACCGGGATGATTGGTACTGTTGCCGATATGAGGTGTAACGTATGAGGTTTTACGGTGTAAAAGACAAATTGGATAAGCAAGGTTGGTGGTCGATGTGTTTTTTCTTGCTCGTGCTCCATCAGTTATGTGTCATACGCGGCATCAAAAATGGTGGATGTGTTTTCGTCTAGCATTGTTAGGATCGATTTGTATTTCATCTGTTTGACGAACTTGAGAGAATATGCGCAGAGAATTAAATCATTTTATAATCTCTTATCATCTGCATCGATTTCAAAAAGGGAATTCATAGCGCATCAAAAAATGTCCCAAAATTACATTAAGATGCTGTCATACACATGTTCTCTCAGAATCTTATGGCTAACTGCAGAGAATCGACCAGGAAAGTGAGAAATAAAAATGAAATCGGGGCAGGTCAGATGAATAAATTTCAAGTATATTTATCATAAAATCTCCTTATAGACAGATCATTTTCGCATCGACGTTTCTGATTAGGTCCAACCGGCAGAGAACTTCGTGTAGGTAGCTGGAAACGCTCCAGTGCAGATAAGGGTAAAAAAGTTAAGCATGTAACTATTGGGCCAATTCTCTCTTGCAATTGTGGATTTATGATAATTATCTCACAATCAATGGATGATCAGCACGTTTATTTATGCGGGACAAAAGCTGACATTGTCGCCACACTTATTTAAATACCCTGCAGTATCCACGGATATGAATTCGTCATCATTCCAGAATTGTTTTCAACTTCCATCACCTGAATCATCTGCGAGTCTCCGTGATAGTGCGCGCATCAAATTTTTGGAAACCGTTGATCTAAAACGTGTCAAAAATGTCCACGCACCGATAGCAGAGAATAGAACCTGAATATACTAAAAACATTTTTTTATGAATTCGCGAGAGAGAAATTAACAGGGTAGCTCAGACCTAACCTTACCAGGCTTTTT